TAATCCAGGAGCGCCGTTTCATCTCTCTTACTGAGAGCCACGCCAACGCCAGCAAGGCCAGAAGCCGCAGCCTCAGGGTCCACAGAAAGACGTAGGTGAAACTTCGCGGATAGGTTTGACGGGGAAGTCAGTCGGATGGCAGAGTTAGAGTCTTCAATGCGAGTCTCTTGGATACAACACATATCGATGTCTAGGAATCGAGGGTACGAGCTAAACACGCCTGTTGTCGTATACGCATTAAGGTACGCACGTTAGTTTGGATGGGCATCGAGGACGAAGAAAAACTTCAACTGGTGGAGGAAGATTCGGTGAGACTTGGATGCTATTCGAGGCAGGACGCGAGAGAAAAAGGACGGAGTTTCCATGGGAGGCACAACTGGTTGTACGATTGTCTGGAGATCTTGATAATAATGGTAGTGTTTGAGGGGGTGAATGTGAGGTGGAGGAAAAGCTGAAATAAAGGGAGATGTGCACGGTTTAAAGCGTTTTTTCATGCGCGAAAACTGAAAGAGTGAGTTATTGATTAGGTTGAAGTTCATTGTTTACGTTGTGGTCTATTGTACTACTCGGTCACCTAGTCCTGCGTAGGCCTTGCTCGAGGATGCACTCTAGGTTTCACGCAACAAAGTGCGAGATACAAGGCAGCAGTATTATTCCAGATAAGCCAGTGACCGGTCGGTTGGTTCATTCGCCTTCTCTGGAAGACCTTGTCAGGTTGATGGAATTCGACAAGGGGTTATGGCCGTATTCAGTGGCGGACCATACACACCACGTCACAGCGCTGTCATAAGATACATGTGGTGTTTTGTGTGGAGAACCCTTGCCAAGTGGTAAATCCACCACATGCTGGAGCACTGCCTCTAATCGTCCGCGATCGCTTATTCAGTGAGAATAAACCCACCTTATTCACAGTTAACCGCCAGTTAGCGGTCGTTCCCCTATCCGCCACCTGAGGACGCGCTCGGTAGCATACAGCTCTGCTTTTGCCAAGCCCCCAGTGTACCTGCATTTGGTCTGAAAATACGTAAAACGTTTGCAAATTCGCTTTATTCCCTGAGTTTTGCTGCATCCGTTTCAACCACAATCACAAATCATTCCCATGGAACTGCGCCTCTTTTTCTATTTCCCTTACACCCTGAACCAAATAGGTACAGATCAGGTATAAAAAGAGATCCGATAGCAAAATCAGTCATATCCGGTTTCAGGAACCGAGAAGTATAACAAAAATATCTCCATTTGGCTATTCATTTGGTGTTTTTTTTTCTATACAAAACGATGCCATATAAATGGTGTATATTAGCCAGTTTATGAGTCAACGAAGACAAACTTGATCGTTAAACTACGATCTCTTTCAATGTGTGCCGCTGGTATAGTCCGGGAGTTGATTTTATTATTTGCTCTGTTTTCAAGCAAAACATGATGCTGGATGGAGGAGTTAAAATGCAAAAGCGGTTCTTAGTCATTCTTTATATGAGTACCTGAAAAATGGCAAAACAACTGTTCCGGCATTCTATTACAAGCGTGAATAGGGCCAAATAATTCAATACTCTGACTTTGTTTAAATCAATTAATTACAATAATACATGGGAATAATAGAGGATTTCGTTTGATCGGATTATGAATTTTTGTGTGCACAAATTGGAAGTTACTAGAACAGAAAACACCAGACAACTGTTTCAACTTGGCTGGGTCTGAGGATAAAACCGGGACCTTGCCACAAGTAGCACGCAAGCATACTATCCAATTTACCACCTAGGGTGGATGATAAAAAAGTCCTTTGTCCTCTTTCTATGCATAACACAAGGTCACATCCTTGTACGTAAGTTTTGGGTATGATGGTTTACCATAGTCTCACAGTTAATGTCCGTGAGGCTTTTAGTTCTTCCTGTATGGACAAAGGAAGGCGACAGAAAGATGTCGATTCCTGATTTTTATGTGCGACTGAGGGGATAGTGATTCCTGTCAATAACCCTCTCTCTTGAGCACCTTGAAATTATTTGTAAGAACACTGGGTCCACCACAGTCGTTCATTTATAATATTTTGACGTGGTGTCCCTCCATCCATTCTCACTCCTTTCCTCTCACCCTCCCTCACTCACCTAAAACTCATCCACACCAAGACACCTTGCATTCCAATTATCAAAAATAAATAATCTCGTTCCCAATATCTGATTCATTTTCTCACCTATGTTCTCAATTTCCTTATGTTTCGTCCAATATGAAATATTTTGTATTTTTTATTTGAGGAATCATCTAAAACCAGCTTGTTTGCTGAATATTGTTCTCCTGATTTCTGTCCTGATGTTTAAATATCATTTGAGATTTAGTTGGGAATTTATACTATGACTTAACCCTTGTGGGTTCAAAAATAAGACATCACACTGTTTACCCACCAAACAATCCTTGTCAAATATTGGTCTCAATGATTATATGTTTCCGATATGTCCCAGTTCTATTCCAGATGTTTGCGGATTCGCATACGAATCGCCAAAGACCACATTTATTTCGAATAATCATACGCGTTAGTGCTCGTCATCGACTGGCTAGCTCAGAAACAAATAACTCCATTCCCAAACCACAGCTTTGCGGCTCCAGAACAAAAAGACACAAAAATAGAGGAAATATTGAGGACTAGGCCCGAAAATGAAAAAACGGCTGTCGAATTTCGAAATTTACCCATACTCATATTTAGAACAATTTCTGGATAACAGTTGTTTTCAATATCTGATAATCATACCGTTACACTTTATATGACGGAATATTTTCACGTTTGCCATGATCTTATCTTTTGGTGGCACCCTGACAAATATTACACCCAGTTGGGTTTGTTCGGTCAAACCATATCGTCAAAGAATGTCGCAAACCAATGAACGGATTGATGAGTAAAGGAAAACTTTTCGGTTAGAGAAAACGTGGTTCTAAAAACCTTTTGCTTTTTTATCTTTCGAACATAAGATTGTATAAACATTTCTCGGAAAGGGGTCTGTCGTCAGTTCAACTTACCTAGGCAAAAGTAGGGGAAAGGGAAAGTCAGGCGGCGATTACGGGTTTCGAACACACAAGCCCCGGGAAGCTTTTTTGATGGTTGTACTCATTTGAGCAACAACGCCGCAGGATGGTAAACGAAAGAATCAAGGTTAACTGAATTCGTATTTTCTGATCAAACTATAGATAGACCTTCAAAATATCCAGATGCCATCCTGGAGCGCATTGAACCAAATTAGCAGGTTAAATGGAAACTGGCTTCCCTGAGAAAACGAATAGGTGTTGGTATGATTGCTTCGAAAATGCACACAGAGAGTAGTTTACTGAATAGTGTCAACTTCACTTGCGGTTATTTTATATTCACGGGAAACACCTCAGATATCGATAGAGGGGTTCGCTCAAGTATTTTACGACAACGGCGAAGAAACCATCGTAGCCAAAATTAGAGTGATGCCTAGTTCTATTAACATTTTGAGAGTCTATTTAGATTAATTGGTTGATCATTACATTGACCAGCGACGAAATCCTCCATACGTATAATCGATAAACTACAGTACAAGTTAACTTATGAAACTGAGTGAGTATTATCTTGTTCAAAGGAAATCGTAGTAACTCATTCAGAAGCACATTTCACTACCATGTACAAAGGTAATACCCCAAAATGGCACTGTATCTGGTAACATTATGCTCGTATAAAATAACTAGACTTTTTGAAATATGGTGGTTTTATTACTTCTCTTGAATACTGCCTCACTAATAATACTTCCGAAATTGACTAGAACAGCTAACGTGTTTTATTAAATCAAATAAGGCATTTCAAAATTCTAGTGTCTGTTATCTGAATTTCTATTTCTGGGAACTTACAATCATGGATTTTTCGCTTTTATCTTGAATGGCTGGTCGGTTTGGATATACAGCACCATGATCACCTGAATCAGGATTCGCTCTGACGCGGCGACCACGATTGCATAGATTGGACCAATTGCATTTAGTGAGACCAGGCAATTCAGGACTGTTAGATTGCATTCGGGGTCGATACAAGCACTGCAGTTTATGCGCGGCCAGGAAGAGAATGACCACACTGACCAGNAATGCGAACGCGACCGACGTTCTCAGAATCAAAAAGTTCACATCCGGACACGTGCACAGGCGCTTTTCCTCCAGTCGGGCTGGCGGCAACGGATCGCCGAGTAGGACTTGTGCCGCGGTCTGCATCGTCGAAACAATCCATGGTGCAGCCAGTTTGAGGCGGACGGTGGCAGGGCGTCCACCCGATAGGCCGTACCACTGAGGCATATGCAGTCGGAGATAAGTATCTAGACTCGATCCCAGCAAGTGTAACAGGATGGAATGACAGATTGTGGTCTCCAAAAAGATCCAAATAATGCATAGTTCATCTCTAATCTCGTTGGAATCTTTGACTGCGTACGAACGAGAAAAATAAAAAAGAAGGGGAAATAAGGCGCATTACATATTTTTTGGTAAACTGAACAAACAGGTTCTCGTTTGAAGTCCTGCATACACTAAAATTGAACTTGAGACGGGGTGGGGTGGGGGTGAAGGGGTACAAATGAACCGGGATGACCAAACGTATTCGAAATGGATTGGATCTTTAGGTAAAAATAGTCATTCTGATTGATTTAGGCTAGTTGAAATGATCTATACATTTGGTAAAATCATCGATCTCTTTCGGGTATTTAAATATCAATCTCTTACCAATTTGTCGTGATTCGGTCTATTTACGTGGTAAATTTGGGACGAAAACATTGTGAGGTATCAGTTAGCAGCATGGGAAAAATACTCTTCAATCATACACTAATAAAATAATTGATCTTTGATAGAACGGTCCCCTCATTTTCAGGTGTACTACAGTTATTCCAGTTGGTCTTCAACCATGGGTCAAAATTTATTTCGATTAAATGCATCAGGCCAATGGGGGCTGAATGAGTAAGTCCAAAATCCAAAAATCATTGATCAGTTACATTCTGAGTTCACTTAGTTTTTCTCTGGTAGAGTTCCCGCACAACCGGGAAGGTCATTTCTACGTTTATTCGAAAAGTTGTCAGCTTATAATGGACCAGGTTGTAGGTAGTTGATATATATATATAGCATATCACCATGGGTGGTCAGCCCCACATGATACGTAGGTAATAAATTGGATATTGGCTGAGTTATCAATTGATGTACCTTATGTGGTCATCGAAGTTTCTTCGACAAATACACTCAATGGGTGCACCATGGGAGCGCATCGTCAGAAGTTGGCGAAAGAGATACGCCCAGTTCTCATAAACTTGAAATGAGTATGCGTTTGGGGAATGGGATAAGAAAATCGGTCATAAAATATTGAGCTAACGTAGCGATCAGCGGGGCTGGACGACAGCTCGGCTACTGTGTGTTTTAAACTGTCTAAGGTTGCTGAGGTTCGTAAATGGACCGACGAAATTGGTATGTTTTCAAAAAAATGTACAAATCTTCTAATATAAACCATTTACTGAACTTAAAAATGGCACTTGTTTATAAACAGAAGCCGAACTTTGGGATACAAATAGTGTAATATGTACTTCTTGATGATGGTCATCGTTTACGTTTCATTTATGTTTTTAGCTGCCAGAAAGCCTCAATTCATCGACGATAAGGTGAGAATCTAAAATCTGAGGCTTTATCTCAAGGGGAGCGGATGGCTGATTAGGGATTCTGAAAATGGCTGATTTCAAATCACAGGTATCCGAAACAGACGAGTATCAGAATCTTGAACGTGGAATACAGGGGGTAACGTTTTACTCAATAATGACACCATTTAAGGAATAATTCACAGTTGTATAATTCAAAAAGATCCTTTCAAAAGCTCCCAGTGTTTTAATAGAGGAGAGCCTGCATGGTAGAAGGTACAACACATCTGGTTTTCATTACTAAACAACATCAGACACCGCAAACAACTCATTGTGAGAAATATTTGAGCAACAAACAAAAATAAATGTTTAATGTTACCGAGGCATACTATCGGCAGTTATGTGATGAAGTGTAACGGTCAGAACCAGACACAATCATGATCGACGTAGGCAGTTATGCTGTATTTAAGGAATGTGGCCTACAGTTACAACCTCCCTACAATGCTAATCAACTTTGTCCACGAGGTCGTGCCTCTAGCCCTTGTACAGCTGAGTGCTATGTCGGGCTATAATTATTTAGCTCAATCACGTTCGTGCACATCAAGATTCCTTTTTCCGGACATTTGCCNAGAGGGATCTCTTATCAGGTGAACACCATCACCACCACCATCATCACCACCTTCACATTCACGGAGATCACAGCTGATATCCTACAAATTCTTGTTCAGCGAAACCATACCTGCTTATCCGCTGCTGGTCATCTTTATGACCGTCCCTCGTATCCTCTACTTGAAGACCAGAATATGAATATTCCGTGGGAGATACTTTCTTCTAAAAGCACCCCCCTCAAGAAGTCCTCTAAACCGAATATGTTTATCTTTATTTTCTATAGAGATTCTGGATACAAATTCGATGTAAACTAGTTCAGGCTGTTATTTGATAAAAAGAACAATGAAGAATTTTGAGCTAAATGATTTGACCATCGGAGAGAATTAGGGTAGAATTGTGTTCGAACCTTCCATTAAGCATAAATCACATACTGCAAGTTGAGAATAGAGAATTTGCGGAAATCGTCTATTTACTTGAAGAAAACAATAGAATGAAAAACGTTCTCCGTTCGATTGCAAAACGATTACCGCGTATTATTAAATTCTTCACAGACTTGAAAATATTACATCCGAATTTGGAAACAAGTGCACCAATTTGTAGGCTGAATATGTGCACAGAAGGCGACTCTTGGTTATTTTCACCGGTACTTTTGCAATCTGTTCGTGAACATTCCTCCGTTAGATGGGGGTACATCTGCACCGCTTTTGATATATTGGTGGTGATTTGCGTTTGTCTATTCACTTGATCACATTTCTATCCTCAGTTCTTCTTAGAATTCCCACGAGGGAAGGTTTTCCTTCTTTAGTGGTGCTTTGCTCCATTTTCTGGGTCAGGGCATGACTTTAAAATTTGTTGCATCACTTGGCTCTCAAGTGCCATCGATATTTATGTACATCTGATTTGATTCAACATACCTCCTGTTCTACAAAATGTGACACACTTCCAGAGAAGAGCTGTGTGTGTTTTAATCACGCATGGTTGATAATTTGACCCGATTTGATTCCGCATCTATTTTTGAGAATTCTCATTGACGATTCGCCCCCAGATTATCCGAAAATGAATGTGTCTAATACAATGTATGGTTATCATTTTTATTCGTTTCATCAGACTACCAGTGATTCCATCGGTTGCGTTGATATCATAAGTAAAATAGTGAAAATCATTTAATCGATAAAAGTCATGTTTTTTTTCTACTGGTTTGTCGGAGTAGAGCAAATCAAAACACTTTGTCCATCGAGCCAGATCATTCAAACACACGCACAAACTGAATAGTTATTCTGATGACGACGTTCGAAAGCTTTATGCACATGTTTTAATACAAGATTGCCAGGGTTTACGTTAGATCACCCTTTTTACATAACCCTGAATCTGCGTGACTCTTGTCCGGTACTTTTGTCCTGTTTGAACTATGTACAGTGAATAAATACGGACGCCTAACTGATACGCCATTGCTGAAATCAGTGTGCATCACTGGTCAGTTGGTGTTAAGTGAAATGTCTAGTCCTCAGGCGAAGACAAATAAGAAGTTATTTGGAATGACAAGGGGACACTTTCGAAAAAAACAGAACCGTATAAAAATACCAGTGATAGATTGGCGAACAACATTCTATTTTTGTCCTTCATTTTGAGGTGAGATAACTTGATTCTTTATGACTGAATTTAATTGCGTGTGAAGTTCGCAATACGCACTTACCAAGAAGGCGTTAATGGGTCATGCGTTTGGGTTAGTTGATATGTCGACCGAAAGTAACATCTAGTTAATTGCTGTGAAGGTTTTGCTGGAAGTGGGGGTGGGGGTGGGCGGGACAGTCAAGGCTCAACGCGTGCAACAGTGACTTCAATATTGGGAACTGATCTACGAAAATTCTGTGAATGATTGTATCGAGTTTTCGGGCTCAGTCACATTCAGCTTTCAAGAAGTTTATTTGCCTTTTCTCCCCAACTTTATGTTCTTTTATGGAATATGAAAAGAGGGAAGTGACCACTCAAGGGGCTGCCATGAATGGGGAAAGTCAGGTGGTGTTGGTAGTGGGATTCAAATGCACGCTCTCCAGGTAGCTAATTTTGGTGACGTTACGAACGGGCCACCACCGCCAAATGTACCTTGATTTTTTATCTAATGCTTCTGAATTTCGTGATCGAGCTCATCATGATTCATATATATTGTTTCACTATGTATTTAATTGGTCAGACGTTCACTGTCGCGGGTGTTTCATTGAGCGTATAGCGTCAAAGTCATCATAGTTGAACAGTGATCACTACTGCTCTCCTGTGGCTGCTCTGTTGCGGTGTACTTAACCGTAAGACCAAGGAAACTCTGGTATCGTTTCAACATAATTCACAACAAGTGATGACCAACATTCAGTTGAATTCAATGATGCATGTGGAACAATATTGGGGAACAGAAGATTGGTTCCAACTCAAGTAGTATCTATTATCATCACTTCTTAGGCTAAGTAGTTGCAATCTTATAGGTCGATTTGACGTTCTTCATTTATGCCCTTCGGAGTACATACAATATCTTTAAACAAATTCCTTCTTACTGATACTACTTTATACCTTAGCATCACTTCTTTGCACTAAATAACCAGTAAGATAGGATTTAATTTATTTTAATTATAAACAGAATTATCTAAGAAAATCGCCCAACAAAAATGTGTGACGATTTTCATTAAACTATGTAAAATACGATAGAAACTTATCAGTGATTTGCATGATTATCTTTAGCAGGGTTCAACATAGTATTCAGATATAGAATAAATATCCGTTAAAATGAATTCTGGTTAAAGGCTTGGACAATGTTATCCTCAACGCACAAAACATGCAGCAAATAAAGATTGAGTTGCATTGTTCTTGGGGATTCTAACTTTTAGCTTCAAAATGCTCAAGTTCCTTTGTGTCTGAGAATTTGTGACTTATTCGAAATCACACGAGAACCGACCTTGAAAAACGATCACCCTCGCGTGTACACTTATTTAACGATAACAGTGTCCGTAATCTTATATGCGACCTGGTGGTTGTATTATAAATGTGGTAGTTATTGTTCACGCAAAGCGGCACCAGTTCTTAGGATTGCTG